GTGTGGTATGTGTGTAGTGTGGTGTGTGGTATGGTGTGTGTGTATGTGTGAGTGTGGTATGTGTGTAGTGTGGTGTGTGGTATGGTGTGTGTGTACGTGTGTATATGAGTGTTGTGCATGTGTGTGTGTAGTGTAGTGTGTGGTATGGTGTGTGGTTTGTGTGTTTGAGGTGGGGGGGGTAGGAGCAGTGAGGAAGGGGCTTATTGTAAACTTTGGAGAAATTGATATCAATTTTTCATTTCTTTGCAACTAATTCTTTGGATTTTGCAGCAAATTTGTTTTCTAATTATTTTTAGCTTGGACTAATAGTGCAATTTTGAGTTTGCTGAGAACAGATGGGCTGGAAGGGAAAGGAGGCTGGTGGGCAGAGGGAACCAGACTGGGGTGAAACTTCCTACTGGGTGACCATTTCTGCCAGCGCAGGGCTGACAAGCAGCCCACCTTTAAGCCTTTCTCTTGACCTGCCTGAGTACATCTTCAAGGTTTTGTCAAGAGCTTTCTCCTACAGGTTATGTTCTCTTCAAGCAGGACACAACCAAGAGGGGGAAAACAACACCCAACACAGCGAAGCAGTCACCCCAGCCCCGGACCATGGTGGAATCCGTGATCCTCGATCGTCGCTAGTCTCAGCCTGTATTCGGATCACATGGGAAGGTTTTTAAAACTATGACTGTCAAGGCCTAACTCCAGAGATTCTCAGTTGGACTGGGGAGGGTCAAGTACAGGTATTATTCTTCATAAACAGCGTGGGTGAATCTGACTCAGCACAGAGTCCCAGAGACACCGCTGAAGGCCAAGTAATGGCTCAAAGGACCACCCACCTGCACACTGTCCTTGTGCCCAAGGACAGAGACCCCATGTGACGTGAACAGAAATGTCTTCAGTAAAAACCTGTCTTGTCAATATGATTCTGTAAAGCACATGTTCCAGTCAGCAAGTAAGCTCAGAAATACTTGAAATTACACTGACAAGGACCCCATATTGTACTGCAAGGGACTCATTTTCCCATTATTGTTGGTGTGAGGAAATATTACACTTTATGTAGCTTTAAAGAGCCTGTTTACGCAGCATTGAAGGTCCAAAACCAAAGAAAAGGTGGACAGTCAGGAGGCTGTGAGCCAATGTTCTTCTAAACCAGTTGCCATGGAGTCAACTCTGACTCACAGCGAGCCCATGTGTGTCAGAGTAGAACTGTGCTCCATAGGGTTTTCAGTGGTTGATTTGGGGGAAGTAGATCACCAAGGCTTTCTTCTGAGGCACATCTGGGTGGACTCGAACCTTCAACCTTTTGGTTAACAGCCGAGTGTGTTAACCGTTTGCACCACCCAGGGACTCCTATGTTCTTCTAGCAACTCATGTTTCAAGGTTCTACTCGATGACCTGTGCCCCAAGGAGCCCTTGCACACACACCTGCACCCACACTTGCTCTTGCCTGTATTCACCTCTGCACCTGCACTCAGTGTGGGGTGCTGGATTTAACAGATGCGGATCTTCCTCCCTGACTAGATGGAGAGCCTGCCAAGGTGGGGAACTCTGTGCAATTCCGCTCCATATCCAAGCCCCTCACTCACACAATAGCTGCTCAGAAAGGTTTTTGAACTGACATTAAATATCCAGAACTTCTAAAGTAACCAAGGCAACATGCTCACTGGGTGACATACCGGACCTGTCACTCTTCATCTAGATGTCTGACAAGATGGAATTCATCTAGACGAAGCTGGTAGACTCCCTGGTCAGCCTGGGCTGGCCAAGCAATCAAATTATTAAATTCTGAGGATTCAGAAACTAGTACGTTTTGGTTTCAAAAATACTAGTCTCATAACCGAAAGCGTGATTGAACCTTTGAAAGTTTTAGTTTCTAGTTGATGTGAAGCAAATATTCCTCATCTTCTTGTGAAGCTGAGGTGGAACCAGAGGAGGTGCGTGATGTTTCTGAAACACCGGGCTGACATTACTTTTGCCAAAGTCTAAAAGGCAAATTTATAATGAGGAAATACAACCACACTGGGTTGGATTTAAAGAGATCATTTCATTAACGAAGTCATAGATAAGCTTTAAACCCAGAGCTGGTGCCTAGGACTTAAACTCCTGCCTTTATGCGTTATCCTTAGCCCAAAACCCATTGCTGCGGAGTCAGTTCCTATTCATAGTGACCCTATAGAACCACTCCACAGAGTTTCCAAACCTGTAAATCTTTATGGAAGCAGACTTCCACTTTCTCCCGCAGAGCGGCTGGTGGATTTGAACCTCCAAACTTTGGTTAGCACCCAAGTTCTTAACCACTGTGACACCAGAGCTCCTCCCTTTATGCATTACCCAGGACTCCATAGTCCATCGGTACATGGTAGGAGACGATACATCTTTTCAGGTAAATAGGTAATGACTGTATAACCAATGACCAACCAACTGGTTGTCACCAAGTTGACTCTGACTCATCATGGTGACCCCATGTGTGTTAGAGTAGAACTGTGCTCCACAGGGTTTTCAATGGCTGACTTTTCACAAGTAGATCTCCAGGGCTTTCTTTTGAGGTGCCTCTGGGTGGGCTGGAACCGCCAACCTTTCAGTTAGCAGTCAAATGAGTTAACCGTTTGCACCACCCAGGGATGCCAGTGACAGCATCAAACCAAACCCACTGCTGCTGAGTCGATTCTGACTCATAGAAACCCTGTAGGACAGAGTCGAACTACCCCCATAGGGTTTCCAAGGCTGTAAATCTCTACGGAAGCTGACTGCCACATCTTTCTCCTTTCCCTTAGCAGCTGAGTGCTTTAACCACTACACCACTAGGGCTCCTTAATGACTGCATTAAAAAAAAAAACAAACCTGTTGCTATCAACTCATAGCGACCCTATAGGACAGAGTTGAACTGCCCCATAGAGTTTCCAAGGAGTAGGTGGTGGATTTGAACTGTCGACCTTTTGGTTAGCAGCCAAACTGCATAGAACCTGATAACCCCTGTCAAAATCCTGTATGCGACATTTGTTCAAAGCAAAGTCAATTGAACACAGAATATTTGATATGTATGGATTCTTTGTTGTCGTTGTTGTTAAGTGCTGACAACAATATATTTTATATCTATAGATATCCCTAGATTATTATCTATGGATTCTTTACCACTAAATAATTCAAATTCAGTTTTAAATACTTCATGTGTTGTTTTTAAATTAGAAAAGACATATATTCAAACATCAAAAGTAAAATAAATCACTAAATCAAGCCATCGTTCTTAATGACTTTGTTTCCACCCATCGAGAGTACAGGATTATTATGTAAGCAATCAGAAAAAAATAGAAACTCCTGTAAAATGGACGATTAATGGAATTAATGAAAATATAACAATAGCATGAGATACTTTGGAGATAAGAATGCAAATCAAAATTGTTTAAAGAAATGAACTTGAGTTATAGAAATAAGAAATTGGCCATGATTTCCTCTTTATTTTTTCCCTATGTACATACTGCTCATGAAGTCTGGACAGGGGCTGTTGCTTCAACTAAAAATCCACAGTCAGTACCATTAAAAATGATGTTTTTATTGGGCATACCATATTGCTACTACATATTTTTTACTTTATTATTTACTTGTCAATAAACTTGGTAGGTATTATATAAACATACCAAAACCCATTGTAGTCGAGTTGATTCCAACTCATAGCAACCCTACAGAACAGAGTAGAACTGCCCCATAGGCTTTCCAAGGAGCGGCTGGTGGATTCAAACTGCCGACCTTCTGGCCAGCAGCCGAGCTCTTAACCACTGTGCCACCAGGGCTTCTGTTTAAACATAGCCACTGCAAAAATGACTTAGGCTGTTTACTAATAGACAAAACCAGACTTGAAGAAGCTGAAATAACCAGATGGTGAGTTTTCAAAACTAAAAAAATCTGCTCACATCTACAGCATAACTGAAAGCTCACAAGGAAATTATTTTTGGATGGTTATTTGGCTCAAACTTAGAATTAGATGAATACTGCCCAGTTAATTTGGTCTCACTACATCCATTCAAATTATTTAATCATTTACCGTCAAAATCTTTGTCCGGTTCTGCAAGTCCGTGGTCCAGTTCATGAACACTCTTGCCATAGAAGAGTCCATAAGAGATGATCACACTTCCATTTAAAAGGTCGTCAGTAATGGTAATTGTGCTGGTGACCCAGGCTCGTGTTCCAAGAATACAGCAAATTAGGATGAAAGACCCAAGGCTTGTGAGAAAGCTCAAACAGAATGTCAATGTTTTCTTTCTTGTAGGCATTTTCTCAGGAAAAGAAGTTCATAAGGGTGAAAAAATAAAGATCTTTAAAAAATATTTTTAGGCCTTATCACTCGGAGTCCTGTAAATAGAAATGGAGTCTTGGTCTTCCTAGGAAGGGTTATGCAAATGAATATTGAACTATGAACATGAACCTCGTCAGAAAGGTTTACAGCGGCTGAACTTTGGTCTGGAGGGAAGGGTTGCTATGGTAACAGCCAACCAGCATGAACAAGGGTGTAGACTTGGTCTTCCCAAGGACTTCCTCAATCACTCATTTATAACCAATTTGTCACATGCCGTGGATGCATGTTCAACTACCAAGTCAGGACAGATCTGGAATTCCTGAAAAACAGGGGTATAGAGGATCTGGACCCCAAAATGTGGCTGATGTTGCAGATAACAGCGTAAAGTCCCACTCTTCCAAGAGGTGCTTTACTGGCTAGGGATCAGACCCAACTATGCTAAAGAAAACCCTAAGGACGCTATGCCTTTGCAGTGGAGTCACTAGGGATGGTGTCACCCAGTGTATGCAGTAACTCATGGTGTCACCCGCCCCCATGGATCTCCTCCCCTACCGGATCATACAAAATCCTTAGTAATGTTTTTTTGTCCTAATGTCACTCGTAAATCATAATTCCCATATATCACTCCTTCTTTTCCTTTAATTACTACTTCATTCTCAAAAAAGTTATTGATACAGGTTCATAAGTAATAATTACCACAGTACTGTAGCTAAAACACCAGAAAATTGGACAAAATTAGCAACTGTAGAAATACCAGCAGCAACAAATACACCAGCACGGGCTTGTAGCACATGCAGACGAAACCACGTGATTCAAAGCATCATCATAATTGGGTAATAACGAAAACTCTGACTGGACGCATTAGAAGGTTCAAAAAGTAAATTAACATAGAGTTTTAGCCTTGTAGGTATATTGATACACGTAAGCTGGGCTTACTAAAGATGTTTTTGTTGTTATAACTAACTACAGGGATATTTTTATAAAAAATAATAAATTTCTGCTGAAACACAGCACAAAAATTTTATAGACGATCATTTCGGTGTCACCGCCTCTGACAGTGTTAACCTGCTGCAGTCTTCACCCCCCACAACCCCCTAGTGAAGCCACTGTGCCTTTGTCAAAGGTACCGGGGAGTAGCAAGTGAAAAGTTTACACCTCTTTTTCCTCCCTGTTTTTAGAGCTGATTAGAAAGGTGTGTCTCTCAGATTTCCTCTAATTGAATTATATTTGCACATTACTTAGACTATAGCTTGAGAGGTTTCGTCTTGATTTCTCTTTCCTGCTCTGACGAAAGCACATTCTTGTGTTAGGTCTTTAACCCTCCTAACCTCGCTGTAATCAGCTAATAGTTTATAAATTGTCCTCAGAGAAACTCGCCCATTTGGCAGGCGGATCCTTTCTAAGATGATAAACAGATGTTTACAAGGTGTTGTGCATTCCTCTTTTTATTGTATTCTTTGAGTATGAAGTAATACCATCTACGTATGTTAGCATCCTGTACTTTTCTTGGCTAGCACCTAGTTTACTTCTGGGAGTAGTTGCTTGCCTGTCTTTCCCACTGAGTAACTAGACTCATTTGTTTTGCTCACTGTTGGGTTTCCAGGGTGTGTCAAAGAGGCTGTCATCGAGAAGACACGCAGCAAATACGTGTTGAATGAATGACTGCAGATATACGCACATATACTCCAGTACCATGGACATTTATGTTTCGCTTTTTAAGTTGTTATTGAAAAAGAACATTGCATGGCATCCTTATCAAAAACCTTTGATTATTTCCTTGCTTAGATTTCTGGAAGTGAGTCAAAGTATGTGAACTTTACGGAAGCTGTTGCTACGTGTTGCTCAGTTGCTCTTTAGAAAAAGTGGTGCAGTTCTCTCCTCTCTGCCTCTTGCTTCTAGCCACTTGGACCTCCCCAAACTCGAATCTCTTTCTCTTGAACTCCATGACCCCATTTGGCTCTTTTTGGTTCCCCCTTTTGCACTGTGGCCTGGAAACTTCCTCTTTGGAAATTCTTTGATGTAATTGTGAGTCTTAACCTCATTAGAGTCTCTCAGGCATTACGGCCCTGTGCTTCCTGATTTCAAGCGTCTCAAAACCATTCCTTTATATACATTTTTTTCTGTTTTGCTCAGCTGGTTTTTAAGCTGACGGGTAAGTCTGATCCCAGTTACTTACTCCATCATGGCCAGAGGAGCAAATCTTCCTTTTTTCCTTGAATGACAACTTGGCTGCCACATTCTCTTTTCCCCAGCATTTTGTACACATTGCTTTGTTGCCTTTTGACACTGAATATGGCCGTGGAGGTGTTTGAGGCCAGCCCTCTGTATGTGACTTACCTAACTGATGGCATGGTGTAAGAGTCTTTAAACGTGAAGTGCACTCGCTTAACATGGATGTGTTTTGGTTTGGATTGTTCTGCATCATTTTTTTCTCTTTCACGTGAGTTACCTTTCACACCATGTTCATGGTTCGTTCCAGAGAATTTTTCTGTGTCGTATTTCTAAATCGAGTGTTCCATATGTAGCAATCTGAACTTCAAGGTCACCCATTATGCTTGTGTTGGGTTATCTTTGACCTGTATATCCACCATCTTCTTTCTAATTGCTTTGGTCTCTATCTTTTTCCTCTGCGCTCTCTTTGCCTTTGCTTCTTTTGCAGCAGATTTGCCCAGTGCAATGCGTCTTTTGATTTCTTGTTTGCTGCTTCCATGGCTGTTGATTGTGGATCCAAGTAAAAGGAAATCCTTGACAACTTCAGTTTTTTCTCTGTTTATTATGATGTTGCTTATTGGTCCATTTATGAGGGTTTTGTTTTCTTTATGTTGAGGTGTAATCCATACTGAAGGCTGCGGTCTTTGATCTTCGTCAGTCAGGGCTTCAAGTTCTCTTCACTTTCGGCAAGCAAGGTTGTGTCATCTGCACATGGAGGTTGTGAATGAGTCTTCCTCCAATCCTGATGCCCCGTTCTTCTTCATGTAGTACAGCTTCTAGGATTATTTGCTCAGCATACAGACTGAATAGGTATGGTGGAAGGATATAACCCTGACACACACCTTTCCTGACTTTAAACCATGCAGTATCCCCTTGCTCTGTTTGAACAACTGCCTCTTGATCCACATACAGGTTCCTCATGAACACAATTAAGTGTTCTGGAATTCGCATTCTTTGCAATGTTATCCATAATTTGTTATGATCCACACAGTCAAAAATGCCTTAGAATAGTCAATAAAACGTAGGTAAACATCTTTCTGGTATTCTCTGCTTTCAGCCAGGATCCATCTGACATCAGCAATGATACCCGCGGCTCCACATCCTCTTCTAAATCTGGCTTGAATTTCTGGCAGTTCCCTGGCGATATACTGCTGCAGCCACTTTTGAATGACCGTCAGCAAAATTTTGCTTGCGTGTGATATTCATGGTATTGTTCGATAATTTCCACATTTGATTTTGTTAGATCACCTTTCTTGGGAATAGGCATAAATGTGGATCTCTTCCAGTCGGTTGGCCAGGTAGCTGTCTTCCAAATTTTTTGGCATAGACGAGTGAATACTTCCAGTGCTGCATCCATTTATTGAAACATCTCAATTGGTTTTCTGTCAATTCCTGGAGCCTTGTTTTTCGCCAATGCCTTCAGTGCAGTGTGGACTCCTTCCTTCAGTACCATTGGCTCCTGATCATGTGCTGCTTCCTGAAACGGTTGAACACTGACCAATTCTTTTTGGTATAGTGGCTCTGTGTATTCCTTCCATCTTCTTTTGATGCTTCCTGCGTCGTTTAATATTTTAAAGTGTTGAAAAGCAAAGATGTTGCTTTGAGGACTAAGGTGTGCATGACCTAAGCCATGGTGTTTTCAATCACCTCATATGCATGCAAAAGATGGACGATGAATAAAGAAGATCAAAGAAGAATTGACACCTTTGAATTGTGGTATCTGCAAAGAATATTGAATATACCGTAGACTGCAAGAAGAAGGAAGAAATCTGTCTTGAAAGAAGTACAGCTAGAATGCTCCTTAGAAGCAAAGATGGCAAGATTACGTCTCACGTATACTTTGGACATGTTATCAGGAGGGATCAGTCCCTGGAGAAGGACATCACACTCTGTAAAGTAGAGGGTCAATGAAAAAGAGGAAGACCCTCAACAAGATGGATTGACACAGTGGCTGCAACAGTGGGCTTAAGCATAGCAACAATTGTGAGGATGACACAGGACTGGGCAGTGTTTCGTTCTGTTGTGCAAAGGGTCGCTATGACTTGGAACCGACTCAACGGCACCTAACAACAACAACACGATGTTAATTCATTTTTTCATCCATGTCTTCTTCTAACTAATGTATTAAATATGAAATTATGTGGTTTGGAGTCCTAGTTTGTTTCCTTCCCTCTGAAGTCTACTGTTCATCTCATCTTGGTTGTTTTATTATCTCAGCATTAATCCCTTCTTATTGTAAGTTCTAGAGAAGCCCTGGTGGTGCAGTGGTTATAAGCGCTCAGCTGCTAACAGATCAGTGATTCAAACTCACCAGCAGCCCCATGGGAAAAAGATGTGGCAGTCTGCTTCCATAAAGATTTACAGCCTTGGAAACCCTATGGGGCAGTTCCACTCTATCCTATGGGGTCGCTGTGAGTCAGAATCGACTCCATGACAGTGGATTTATTGTAAGTTCTTACACAGCATAACACATGCAGGGGAAACTGCTTCAGTTCATGGCTTCCTTTCCTTTTGCTATATGTTGGCATAGTTCTCATACCGTTTCTTTTCTTCTTGCTTATGCTTAGACAGTTCTGTCCAACCATTGGTTTATTCTAATACTGTATGGGCGAGATCCCCCTACATCCTTCTTACCTTATCTGGGCTTGCTTTGTCTTATTTTCTCTGAGCTTTCATTTTTGGCTGCAGTCATTATTTTTCCTGAGTGCATACAGGAAGGAAAGAATGGCAAAACATTTAACTCAAATTGGCTTAAACTCACCTAAA